AGGTCCTGGGGGGGGGGAGGCAGAAAGGTGCCAAGAAAGACCTCTAATACATGCCACAACTGATGTGCACTAGTGGAGGGGGAAGTGAATAAGCCAGTAGATCAGAGATGGGGCATGTTTGAGTTTTGGACAAAATACTCCCAAGTTTCCCGAGGGAGAACGGCCACTCGTCAAGCTGGCCGTGGGTTTCCGGAAGCTGTCGTCCAGAAAACAATCTCTTGCCATCTTGGAGAGGGACAGAGGAGATAGCTTTGTTCTCGTCTGTTCTAAACCAGTATGCACATGGGTGCATGGAGCTTTTTTTGAGGTTCTCCTGTCTCTTTCTTAGTTTTGAAGGACAGGCCTGCAAACATGGAAGGCAACTTTAGGGGTTTCCATAAATAAGTTTAAGAATCGCCTCCTGCTGCTTTACTCACAGATGGATTTTCAGACACAATAAGTTGTGTGTGTGTTTTTTTTTTAAAAATGCCTTTTCTGTAATGCCTGTGTCCGGCTCTAATTCAATAGCCAGTGTGAGGCCCCTGCCTTATGCCTGCAAAAGACCATTCAGCCCAATAATCCTAATAATGGCAAGACTTTGGGATTTTCAGACACAATAAGTTGTGTGTGTGGTTTTTTAAAAAATGCCTTTTCTGTAATGCCCGTGTCTGGCTCTAATTCAATAGCCACAAGCTCAGCGTGAGGCTGCTGCATTCTGCCTGCAAAGACCATTCAGCCCGATAATCTTAATAATGGCAAGACTTTGAAAGACAAAACTGAGGTGCCATAGGCTTGTCTATGCTCCCTGAGCTAGCCTACTGGCCTCAGCTGCTGCAGAAGGCATTTCCTCACCAACAATATTGAACTCAGCTATCAGACCAACTTTTTTTTGTGTGCATGAAATCCTAGTTTTGTCTTAAGTCAACCCTTTGCACCAGCCCTACACGACAATGCTTCATGGGCTCCTACGTTTAACGTCCCTGCCCAAGAGCACAGAAAAGGCTGTCCGGTATGTAGCCGACCAGCTTTGTTCATCTCGTTGGGCTCACACACGATCCAAGATAAAGAACAAGGACTTCCCTCTTTCATCACTGGCATTACTTGATGATACATTCCTCCAGAAACTGCTCACCTGCCCGTGTGAAAGATTTCGTGGCTTCTTGTCCTAACGCGTTCCCTTCGTTCGGGCCAAACGGAGTGGGAAGGTTTGCCAATGTGACTTGTTTGTCAGCCCTCTCCACATAAAAGCAATGTATGTTTAAAAACACACAATAACAACAACACAGACCCAACTCTGCTCTTACAGACTATGTCCTTCCTTAATTCTGGAAGGTGCTCTGCTACATCCCCGTACATGTTTGAATTTTTGAAGTACCAGGAGCTAGCTAGGTTCTTCCCTTCCTTCCTTGTTAACATGGTTTATGTAAATCGCCAAAGTTGGTTTTTTGCGATGTATTCATAGTTACCCCATTGGAGCTGAATTTGGGTGAGGACACAATGATTTCAGAACCCTGCTACCACCCACGGAGTATTGATAACGGTGGTGGCTTTTTCCCAGTTGAGTGTGTATTTTCGTGTATTTTCCTGCTCCATGGACCTTGTCCATGCTGGACTGAAAGTTTGGTGCCAGAAGTGAGAAAGCCAAGTTTTGTGTTCAATTCTTAGGGTCTCCAGAAGTTATATCAGGGTAGGAGAGATGCTTCCTGCCTGTTGCCGCATTGAATTTGATTCAAGGCATGAACTTTGGGACTATGATTCTGTACCATCCACTGTTAGCTGCAGGACTGTTTCAAGATTCTTGCCTGTTCATCCAAAGTCTATCATTTTACCAAACATACTTTTTGTATCTGGAGAACCTGTTTTCATCAGAATTGCCATTTTAACTTACCACACACTTAATGATGCAATTTTAAGTTTAGTTGTTGTAGGTTTTTCGGGCTGTTTGGCCGTGTTCTGGAGGTTTTTCTTCCTAACGTTTTGCTGGTCTCCTCCATCTTCAGAGGACAGGAGTTAGAACTCTGTCTGTCTTCTCAGGAAGAAAAACCTCCAGAACATGGCCAAACAGCCCGAAAAACCTACCACAACCATCGGATCCTGGCCGTGAAAGCCTTCGAGAATACAATTTTAAGTTTGTTTGAAATCAGGTTGGTTTGAAATCAGGTTTGCCCTAAAATTGCTGCAGGAGGTTTTTTAAAAAAAATAAAGAACTTTTTAAAAAGGGACTTTCAACTGCAGAACCAGTTTCATCGTAGAATTGTTACTATTCCTGCCGCATTTCCTTGACTGACCCAAAGAAGGTACTGTACAAAATTATCTCAGACGTGACTTGAGACAACGGAGGGCTGTGTTCCCTCTTCTTTTCAGATCTCAAAAACTTGTTATTCTAAATTGTAGGCCTGGGACATTCCTTCTCAAATTCACATGTGAGTAAGTCCAGATTAAGCTCTCCATCTTGAGGTGTTGCTGTCTTGGCAGGTTTTCCTGCATCCTTCAGATCCTACAAGACTATGACATTTCGCAAAATATTTCCAGTTCTGTTCTTCCAGGAGCCTTCAAAGCTAAGATGGTGATGTCCCTATCCATCACCTGTGGAAGGAGTGAGACATGATTTTTTTTTTTCTGGAAGGAACAGAAAAAAAGATGTTTTGGAACCACTGCTCTGTGCAAGCAGTGTGTTCTTATCATTTCTAGTAAATTATGCATCATCCAAGGTGGCCGTTGAAACTGGGGGAGGTAGCTGGCTGGATAGCTTAGTGACTTAGGAATCTGGCTGTGGAATCAGAGATGGTGAGTTTGATTCCTGTTTGTGCCTCCTGTGGGGAGAGCCAGCCTGTGTAGCCTTGGGCAAGCTGCACAGTCCCAAGATTGTCCCCCCAAAAAGAAAGGAATGGTAAACCACCTCTGTGTATTCCATACCCAGAAAACCCTAAAAAGGGTTGCCATGAGTCGGAATTGACTTGACAGCCTATGATTATTATTATTATTCAAGGAGTGTTGCCATAAGTCGGAACTGACTTGACGGCCTATGATTATTATTATTATTCAAGGAGCTGGATCTGGGTTGTGTGTTGATATGAGCACCCTAGAAGCCAACTTCTTGCTGCCATTCTTAGACCCCCTATGTGATAGACCCCCAACTTTGCACACTGTTTGTGGGTAAGGATGCAAATATCAGGTAGCAAAATTTGCTTTCACAGGAAAGAAAATGCGTGCCAAGCATCAGGTGTCTTAAGAAAGAAGGGAGGTTATGTTATCTTGAATTTATGTATAGATATATGGGGTCAGTGCAGGTTTTGTGTTGCTGTTGATATGGTGGCGACCTGTGGTTTTAAGCAATAAATCTTGTTCTGTTCTGTTCTGGTTGTGTGCACTGAATTTGAGGTGGAGGAAGAACAGACAACCGACCAGAAACAAACGATGCAGATTGTCCTCTGCCTTTATTCTGGACAGTTTGCCAGACTTCCTGGGTGCGGAAAAAAGGAAGAGAAAATGAACTCTAGCAGGACCACCAGAATTTATATTTGAAAGTAAAGCAGACATGCTTTCTAAAATAAAAGGAAACGTAAACGGGGAAGTGCAACTAGAAGATGTGGCCTAGAAAGAGGAAATGATCCTTTCTGGTCGGTGGCTGCCAGCCGACTCCCGTTATCGGCTTGGCAACTCGCCATGATGGTTTGAGGATTCTGGGTGTTGTAGTCTGGAAAAGAAACTTTTCTGGGCTGTGATGCAGTCTAGAAAGGTAGGTTTTGAGCTCAGCCTCAGTACATCAAATATGTTTCTAAAGAGGCAGGATACTCCTATGAGGATGATCCTATAAGGTTACTCCATAACTACCTTGCATAGGTTGTGTTGTTGTGATCATAAATACACAGGGTGGGTATTGGCAGAACAGCCCCATGATGTGGCAACCTCTCGTCCCCGGTTTCCCATGTGGCTCAACAGATCTGGCCTACAGACTGCCACCAAGCTAGGGCGACATTTAATATCCAAGCTGGCATCCATACAAAAAGTTGACCTATAGAACCAGACAGTCTTGATTAATACAAGTACGCTCTGCCAGATTTCATAGAGCACAGACTAGTAGAAACAACAACAACAACAACAAACACCTTAATCTCAAGACCTACAATTTAATAGGCATTTCACAGCATGTTGTTTCTTTAGCTCATTGGGGGGGGGGGGAACAACACTATCTTGTTATCAGTATGTATTTGGCAAGAAGAAGCAAAAAAGGACCAATTAGAATATAGACAGCAAAATAAAAACAAGCTAGATTTTTTGCTGCAGGTTGCAAATATCAACCCTTGAGACATCACTGCAGAATTGCTCTGGATTTGGGAGTATAAATTCCAGAGATGGGAACTCAAGTTGAGACTTAAGTCGCACTGGTGACTTGACTCAGAATTAACTTGGGTTTTTTGGGTTTTTTAGACTTGACTTGTGACTCAGAACCCACCCACCTCTTCCCTTTTTTCTGGGGGGGAAATACTTTTAATAGCGACTCGGCTTAAAACTTGGGACCAAAAATTTAGAATTGGGACTCAGACCCAAATACCTGCCAACACCCCTGATAAACACTGTTTTCAAAAAAACCACGATCAGCCTGTTTCGCTTTTCCTCAGCTTTGGGCGCTTTTCTCTTGTTTGAAAATAAAATCATCGAGACTCTTGAGAGTCCCCTGGACTGCAAGGAGAACAAACCTATCCATTCTGAAGGAAATCAGCCCTGAGTGCTCACTGGAAGGACAGATCCTGAAGCTGAGGCTCCAATCCTTTGGCCCTCTCATGAGAAGAGAAGACTCCTTGGAAAAGACGCTGATGTTGGGAAAGTGTGAAGGCAAGAGGAGAAGGGGACGACCGAGGATGAGAAGGCGGGACAGTGTCATCAAAAATGTCTAACATGAATTTGACCCAACTCGGGGAGGCAGTGGAAGACAGGAGGGCCTGGCGTGCTCTGGTCCACGGGGTCACAAAGAGTCGGACATGCCTTAACATCTAAACAACAACAACAAGAAGCAGGACTTCACAAAATATCCAAAGTATATTTTATTGTTACAGATAAAGCCGAGAAAACACGGCAAAAGCAATGCCACAAGTGTCTTGGGCATGTTAAAAATCGGTGTGTGGGCAGGGCAGGGTAACAGTTATATACTGTATATAAAAATATCAGAGCTTCAGAGGGCAACCATTAGAATGCCAGACCTAAAAGGTGGTGGCGAAATGTGCAGAGGTTAGGAAGTCAAAATGGCGGCACTCTAGCCAAGGAGAAGTGGAGGGAGGTGAGGGTGGCGCAGGACCATGTGAGGTTAGTACGTGACTACGATGGTCAATGCCTGCTCAACCAAGGAGGCTCAGGTCGTGAAGAAACCAAGGATTATTATTATTTGTTTTGGCTGGGAGTGTCGGCCAGGTTTTATGCCTGCGGATTGTTGAACTTCTCCGCCAGGGCCTGGAACTGGGAGGAGATGTCCTGCAGATACGGAGCGAACCACTGATTCATCTTTTCGGCAAATTGGTCGAAGGAGCCTTTGACTTCCTCGGCTTTTTCACGGAGTTGTTCCTGGAGTTCCTGCACCCGGCTGCTGAGCTGCTCGTGAACCATCTTCCCTTGCTCTCCCACGGCCTGGTGGAGGGCCTGGAACCTCTGCTCTCCCTTCTCGCGGATTTTGGAGAGGTAGGGCTCCAGGCTCTGGCGGACGGCGTCGACTTTTTCACCCGTGCTGGCCCGCACTTCCTCCGCGTAGGTGGCCATCTTGCGGCGCAAGTCCTCCGTGTCCTTGGTGAGACGTTTCCTCAGCTTGCGCATGAAGAGGTTCAGCTGAGACCGCACCGCGTCCACATTGTGGTCGATCATGAGGCGGGCGTCGTTCGTGTATTGGACAACTTTGCCCTTGGCTTCTTCCATGTCGGCCCGTAGTTTCTCCGACAGAGTTGACACTTCGGTCGTCAGACGTTGCTGCACTTCCTGGGCATAAGGGCCCAGCTTGGAACGCAAGTCTTCAGTGTAGACTTCCACCTCAGCCATGGTGTCTGTGATAAGGACACTATGGGGGATAAAGAGGCAAGAAATAGTGGTCAGTGTTACATCCCCCTCATGAGTCAGGAGCCTTAAAACTTGCCTCCTGCCTCAAATCTCTTGAGACTGTGAACCAAGTACAGTGGTGCCTCGCTTAATGGGCGCTCCATTTAGCAACAAAACCGCATACTGACGATGTTTTTGCGATCGCTTTGTGATGTTCCCTATGGAGAAAAATCGCTTTGCGATGATCAGTACCCTGTTTCGCTTACCAATCATTGCAAAGCGATGATTTTTTAACAGCTGATCGGCGGTTCCAAAATGGCCGCCTGCTGTGTTGCCTCGCTTCAGAGGCACTGAAAATGGCCACCGCAATTTTCGCTTAAGGTTAGTTTTCAAGCCCATAGGAACGCATAAACTGGTTTTAAAGCGTTTCTATGGGCTTTTTAAGATTGCTTAGCGATGTTTTCGGTTAGCAGCAATTTTTGCTGCACGGATTAACATCGCTAAGCGAGGCACCACTGTAACACCAAGATGAACTCTTTCACCTTGGAATACTTTACCTCTTTCCACCCTCCTCCTAAGATGTAAGGAGAATTTTCACACAAATAAAAGTTAGGGATGGCCTCTTTTTTATATACTTATTTTCTGGACTACAGGTACCATTCTGTTTTCATTCTTAGAGTTCTGCCTGCCTTACCAAACTAAGTGTGGCTCACCTGGGAGAAAGGCCTAAGTTTGAGGCCTAGCTAGGCCGAGCGCCACCTATATACCTTTTGCTCAGAAAGAAAATTCCCAGCTAGCCCCGGGGCAGGAACATGAAGCTTGGGCATGGCTTGGCCTAGCCTCAGAGGGCTGTGGCAAGGATCAAAGAGTCGGGGTGAAAGTCATGTACCTTGCTTTTTTCCCGCTGGAAGAAAAACAGAATATGAATGTAACAAACGATTGTAGGGTTTGTAACTCTGACGCAAAAAAATGTAAGGATTGTCATCAACAATAAAACAAAAACTGAAATCCTGTTGTGCAATTATGCAAATTATATCACATTGGAAGTGAATTGCCATGAGTTCGGAAATCTCCGTAGTCTCTGTCGCCTACTGAGTTGTGTGACTTGGTAGACAAGAGATAAGGTCTACAGAGATTTCTTAACTTGCCGCAATTCACCTCTAAAAGTTACGCTGTTTGTGTAACTGTGCAAACAGGATTTCATCCAATGTTTTATAAAGTTAATCTGGGTTGGTGATATATTTCACACTGTTCTTCTTCCTCTGCCACACCACAGAGGAACTGGGAGCAATTTTGAGTGAGTAATACCCTTTTCCAGGACTCCCTTCTGAAATGTCTAAAGAGCTATTATTCAGAGTTGTCAAATTAATCTGATCAATCAATCCAGGTATTGCTTGAGAGGTGAGATGTAGCAGATAATTTGGTGGTACTGGTCTATAAATTGAATCCGAATATTCTCTTTGTTTCAGGAGAAAAATAGACAAGCTAAGGTTAAAACAGCAGTTCCCTTCGAACTAAGCAAAGTTGATAATTCCAGTTGGTGGACTGCTTTAAAAACAAAACATCTAGTTGTTTGATTAAATTTTTACTCCACCCATTCTAGACTCCAGGTTGTGTACGGCAAAATGTCATTAATTCTGATATGTCTTATTCTGTTCTAATAAGGCAATGTATTCTTATAAAACTGATACAACCTAAAAAAGGCAAAAAGCAGTGTGAGCCAAATCTTTGCAAGATGTTTGTTGAATAAGAGTCTTTCAAATCTCATCTGACCCTTGGCCATCGCCAACCCCTTGGAAGGAACAAAGACACTCACTCCAGTTCCTTGCTGATCTGTGAACTCTTAATCTGAGTGGTGACGTCATCGGCAGCATTCCCGATCCGAGTCACGTAGTCCCAGAAAGTCTCGACTGTCTCTTCCCATTTGGTTCTTGGCTCCTGTTGGAAGACTGGGTTCGCCCATGAGCCTGTACGGAGAAGAGAAATGGGGCAACTCTATAGATTTTCCCTTTGGCTTGCAAAAAGCGAGACCCGTCATGCTGAAGGTGGGTGGACTGGTCAGTTTGTGGCATCCCCTCGGGTCACAGAGTATGTTCGGAGTAAATTCTCAGAGGACAAAAGCACATTTTTAGGAGTGATGCTGAGAGGCAGTTTGAGGACAGAACAGGAAGTAATCAAATAAAGAAGTGTGTCATGTTGCAGCAGGTTCATGATGCTTATGTTATGTCTTGGGGCCATTTCCCCTTTCCTCAATGCTGGTACAACTGAACCCTTTCTCAATCTTTTGAGTTGGTCAAATGCTCTGTTGGCCAGGCCCATCGTATCCTGTGGCCTCATATTCAGGCCCTAAACTTGAGTTTATAAAATGGGTCCTTGTGACGTCCCAGTGATGGACCAATACATCTGGGTGCAGTGGAACTGCTTCTAGGTTGGCTGTTTGCAGGAAAGGGGCATCAAGGTGGCTCAGGAAAATGGGGCTAGAATCTAGACAAAGCCTGGCCTACCAAGTAAAGTGGTAATTAAAGGCCAGGGGGAAAAAGCTGTTACGCTGCAGAATGGGTCCAGCAGTTGCAAACATGATCACCATTCCTACTAGGGTTTACATCCTACAAAGGAAGAGATTTTTTTCCAAGCCTATGTGTCTTCTGGAAGACATGCCACCTGTCTGTTGGAGAGTTCAGTTCCCTCAAATGTTATCCTGTGCCTTCAAATCTTGTGTGACAAGAAGGATCATAAGGGCTGGCGCTGGCCCTGTTCCATAGAGCACAACAGGAATGACACTCCCAGTCCCTTCCCCTCACTCTGGCCTTCTTGGTGAACTGAATACAGTACACGCACAAAAATCCTTCCACCGAGCCAGCACACCAGCTAGGAATAGATGGCGCTTGGGCATCTGGACTTGAAAGTCCCCTTGCACAAATGTCAACTGGACACCTGAGGAAGTCCAACTAATTCCTGAGATGTTGGTTGATGCCCTGGAAACCGGGCATCACCTCTTTGGGCTTTGGTTCCAAGGCCTGCTCGTTCACAACCCTATATATGAAACACACACACACACACACACACACACACGCGCGCGCACACACACACACACACACACACGCACAGGTGCTGCATTCCCCAAACATGCTCATTTTTCATTACCTTCTTTCACAACTCAATGTTCCTAAATGGTGTAAGCCTCCTGCAAGTACCTTTAACCATGGCCAGTGTAGATCAAATAAAGGAACTTCTCCAAACATTGGAGACTAGGGATGGGTGGAAAAGTAACTTGGTTCATCATAGGAATTCAATCTACCCAGAACTTTCTCCTCGGGTCAAAGAACTCAACCCCAACAAACATCTCCCTCTGATGTTGATGTCCATGAGAACCGATGTGGTTTCATGGGCAGAGTTTCAGACTGGTATCCAGGAAACCTGGGTTCAAATCCTGGTCTCTAGTCCTGGAAAAGCACAGGGTTGGCAAGGGCAAACCTCTCCTTGAACGTCTCACAAACAAGCCTTACAAACCCTTACGTGAGTCACCCTAGTCAGAAGGGACTTGATGGCAATGTAACCACAACAACCTTCTCTTGATCTGACTTCCCCATTTCCTCTTCCCTTTTTTATCCTATCCTTCTTCTCGGGAGATCCTCCTGCTCCTTCTTTCTTCACAACAACCCTGCAAGGTAGCTTAACCTGAGATACAGTGGCAGTTTTGGAGTCATCTAGAGAGGCCATGGCTAGCGAAGATTCTCCTACCATCCTATTCTGACATTCTAAATGCTCTTTTCCCCAAACCAATGTCCTCTATACAGTATATGGTTTTGGCTACCCTTCCCTCATTCCTATGCAGCATTAGAGGGTCTCTTGGCAGTACCTGTAAACTGAAACATCAGGAGGGTGCCAGAGTGGGGAAGGCTGTTTAACCGCTATGTCACACTGCCTTAGCATCCAAGCAATGGCCTTCACTAGATGAGACACGGATGACGTCGCTAGAATTAGTGCACCCTTAAGAGGGAAAAAAACTGCCTATCTGATCTACCAGAAGCTTTCCTCAATCTGCATTTGGCTAATTCATTTGCTTTTTGGTCTCCTAACTGGGTGGTAGCATAGCTTTGTTCGTTGTACGAAAGGTGGCACTGAAAGATTTACATGCCTGGAGGGATAACATTGCCAAAGGAAGAAATGCATATTTGCCTTCACATCCAATTTTATCCCAGCTCCTTCCACATTTAAAATACCCTTAACCCCTTATTATCCTTGCACACCACAAGCACTTGATATAAGCAAACTCCTGCATTTTCTAATGCATTCTGGGCAGGAGGGAGTTAAATGGCTCATCTGCGTGAGCACTACTGGAAACATAAAAGTAGGAAAAGATAATAACTGGGGCCAATACAATAGGATTGTTCTTACCTATGTATCTGTTCTCACCTCTCCTCCCAACCTTACACCAGCTCGTATCATGTGCTGTGATAAAATTTGCTATTTTTTTTTCTGATGGCCATGCTAGAAAACACCAAGAACCGCCTCCCAGACTGGAGTAAACGTTCATTAAGATCAGAACAAAAAGATACAAAGACGACACTGATTGTCACTGTTCTTTGCCCCAACCTCTGCTATGCCTGACAAGACAGATCCTCTCTCTGTTGGGTAACGCTCATCACAGAACTCAGGGGGAAGTCCCTTTTGGAGACTACAACACCCATGGTGGCTGGGGGATTCTGGGTATGGTCATACCCCCCAAAAGAAAGCCCCCCCTCAGACTCTCCGAATCATGCAGCCGACTGAATTTTCCAGCAAAGCTAGCCTTTAAGGAGCATCCAGATAGGGGCGAAGGGAGGACCCACATCTGGATGTTCCTTAAAGACGAACTTTACTGTCCTTAAAGACTAGATTTGGGATCTTTAGGGTGCCATCGGGTTTAGGTACTCACCTCCCAATAGCGCTGCCGCGAAAAGCAAGGTGAAAGCCTTCATGACTGACCGATCGGCTCCTTCTGGAAAAAGAGGAGAAGAAGAAAAATCAGGGAAGGGAATAAAAGTGGAGGAGATGGAATTTCCTTTGGGTTGCAAGAATCTCGCTCACCCTGTACAGCCACACAGACAGAATCAATTGAAGATAAATTCTACAGTCAATTCTAAACTTCCCCTCTGGTTAAAAAAAGTTGTCCACCAAATGCCCTTTAAGACTAACTTTCTTAATCCAGAGCTACACTTTGCCCTTGTTTCCATCCGCCCCAGCCTGCGTGTCCAAGCCTGTGCATCATCGGTCTGTAAAGCAAGTCTCAACAAGACAACATGTCCTTCTTTGCTCTCTCTCTCTCTTTGTCTTTACCTTCTTTGCTGCTGGGTCCCAGAAAGTGTCTTTCAGCCAGGCTGTTTTCTCCAGACTTATATATACAGCTCAGCTGGTGGGAAAGGAGGTGGTGATGATGGGGGGGGGGTTGGGGAAGAGAGAGGAAAAAGGAGGCGGCAGGATTGGCAGAGTCAGCAAGAGTCATCCCCGCATCATTTGCCGAGGTGGCTTGGAGAGCAAAGTTTAACCTCCAGCACCACCATCGCCCGGACGCGGGGAGAGTCTTAACCCTCAACTCCCTGGAGGGACAGAGAGTTAAAGCAAGAGTTTTGATCAGAATGGTTTCTGCTTCCTCAGAACTGCAGTTGAGAACTCAGGGAAGGACCTCGGATGGATGGGCATCTCGGATGGGGCCAGAAAAGGTCGTCACGTGGAAGGGAGAGGCTCCAGAGCCAAAATGGTCCACATTATGGCCTCCCCGATGACTAGGGATGGGTGTGGTTTATAGTTTATATCCCTGGGGTTACGGATACCCCAGATTGGGAATCACCACCTTAGTGAAATAACTAGTTGAGACCAGCGGAGGCGCCAGGAGTCAAAAATTCAAACCCACACTGTGCCAACTAGAAAAAAGGGGTCAGTGGAGATCATCTAGTATGTGGCTGGTCCTTGCCACCTGTGTTGCCCTGGGTATAAGCAACAAAATTCAGAATCATCACCAGAACAAAGGTCTGGGCCATCATCCTGCAGTGGTTTGCACCTAACAAACCCCAGGAAAGTCACCCAGAGTTGGAATTGTCATGACGACACTTTATTATTATTAAACCTTAATCGGGAAGGGTGAGATTATTGTTTCTGCGTTTCTGTTTTTTCCAAAATCACAGTGTACTCAGCTTTGTAAAATTCAAAAAGGAGGTCACACGCACCATGAAGATCTGAGGAGAAGAGAGGTGGTCCCTGGGACTTCCAGAAAAAACAAACAAACCCAGCAGGAACTCCCATGCTGAATTATGGGACTGTGTGTTAATTTTTTTTCAAAAGACTTATCTCGAAAGATCACAGCAGGGAGCAAGTGTGGGGGAACTATTAAAAGGCAGTAAATTGGTGGTGATGATCAATGATGGAGGTGATGGTGTCATTCTTCATCCTTAAGGCTTAATATTATTTCTTTTGCCAGGGACCTAGAATGTCCTATGACCTCTTCCTGAATTATTGACCTTCTCTTCTTCCCATGGCGGCCATCACTGTTTGCTCTTTGTGGTTCCTTAGTTCCTGGAGTTTATTAGCTGCTCCCAGCAGAAAATATTCTTTCATCCCCGAACCTTTATCTAGAGAAGGGCTCCAACTCCACACGCTTTCCTTCTCCAGCCTAAACACATCTCCCAAGACACGATCTGTTTGTTTTAACAAAGGAAACCCCCTCCCCCAGGGGGACTGAATAGAATCCAGCCCTGGAATAAACAGAACATCTTAGAACTTCAGCATATGCGCTATAGTGCATCAGCGCTAAACAGGACAGTGCTATGAGAGGCATTACTATATAATATAGTCTCTGTGTAGAACCCAGTTCATCTGCTTTTTCAAAAAAATGGAAGTAGCACATTGGAAGTAATGCAGATAGCTGTTCACAGTAGGACAAGCGGGTTCCTGACCATTCTCATGTTCAGGATATCACCTCTCCCCCCCAGTAGCTTACTTCTGTCTGCTTCCTTACCAGATGCATGTGTTTCCGTCTGTGTGTCTGTGAACACTGACCCCCTTTCCTGGGTCTGCCCATTGTTACTCACTCTGCCTTACACCCCACCAGCTACCATGGCACCCGCTGTCACTTTGGTAACTAGTTACTCCTTGGAGTTATGAGAGACCAATATGAAACTACTTTTAAAAGAACAGTGAAATCATATAAGTAACTTTTAAAAGTTACTTTTGAAGGGTGTTTTAAGAGATATTTTGACAGGAGTATGTCTCATGCCATTCTCTTATGAAGCCTTTTTAAAAAAAGAATAGCAATCACAAAAAAGTAATAACAGGAAAGTAACAAAAACAACAGGCCGTAGAATGGGCAACATAATGTGTTACTTCTCCAACACTGTAACAAGTAACCAATTCTTCTTAGACGGTATAAAAAATTCCGGGAGATGAATAGTTTTCAAAAAGTAACTTTTCAGTCTTTGCTTTTTAAAAAACCAGATATAATGACATTTGGTTGGAAACTGGGGGGGGAGGGGGAGCCCTTTAAAGCAAATTGATGGAATTTGGGTTTTTTTGTATGGCATAAATTTTGGAAGTCAGCATCAAAATAACGTGTATAGGAAAGGAAGAATATATATACAGTATACTTATTTCCCCTGTTAGCTCACAGCAAACAATTTATAACCAACAAACATTGGCCCACCTAGTTAATTTTGGCCCTTCCGCCATTCTGGAGCTTGTCTACTTTATTGGTCCCTCAAGTTGGTCCTGAGTGGAATTTTTCACCCACTAACTTTATTCTGGGTTGCAGGCTTGGCTCAGATTACAATTAGAGCTTTTGAGATTGTTTTAAAAAAACACCACAGTGCAAGGAGAAAATACTCAGACTTTTGAAACAGTGTGTATTTGCGGGCGTGTGTTTAAGTTTGTGCGTTTGTTTCACAAACTGTCTTGTACACACTTACGCCCTGCTCTCAATTAAATACACAAAATTTGGAATATGCCGTTAGCAATGCTTCCAAAATAAGATGGCTGCTTCATTTTGCTTGTGTTTATATGTGAACATAGAAGGGGAAATGATTCTTCCTTCTCCACTCCGGAGACTGATTGATTGGGAAGGTGTCATGTGTTGAATGTCTGCCTGATTTATATTAGTTAGAATGTTGTTCTTTTCTTTTCTTTTCTAAGCTAGGAAATGCCTGTCACCGAGACATCTGAACTTCTTCTTAAAGTTTAGTGTGTCTGTTGCCTCACACGGGTCACGCAGTTTACGACAGATCACTTCCTCATCTGAACACTGACCACAACTGGGCCTTGGGTTATACTGGCCAAATGGCTACTCACAAAAGAGCACTTGACACAGCTGCTTACTGCTAAGATCACAAAGTTGGCTTCTTCAGTTTGCAAAGACCATGTGCTAAGATGTCTTTGTTTTGGATCACTTTAGCTACCACCAGCCGAACGTCAAGTCTCAAGAGTGTAGTTGCTCGATAAGATTTCAGTAATTATAAAATGTCTGCAAGAATACCACATTGTAAGGCTGATTTTAACGGGTTCAGATGAACCCATTTATGTTGAAGTATCAGAGACCATAAAGAAAACTGACCGCCAAAGAATTGATGCTTTTGAATTGTGGTGCTGGAGGAGACTCTTGAGAGTCCCCTGGACTGCAAAGGGAACAAACTTATCCGTTCTGAAGGAAATCAACCCTGAGTGCTCACTGGAAGGATAGATCCTGAAGCGCAGGCTCCAATACTTTGGCCATCTGATGAGAAGAGAAGACTGCCTGGAGAAGACGCTGATGTCGGGAAAGTGTGAAGGCAAGAGGAGAAGGGGATGACAGAGGATGAGATGGTTGGGCAGCGTCATTGAAGGTACCAACATGAATTTGACCAAACTCCGGGAGGCCGTGGAAGACAGGAGGGCCTGGCATGCTCTGGTCCATGGGGTCACGAAGAATAGGACATGACTTAATGACTAAACAACAACAACAAATCAGAAGCAGAAGACAACTGGAGGATGTAGAACGCTTAGATGCCCGCGTTCAGCCATACACCAAAAACTGGAGGATGTAGAACGCTTAGATGCCCACGTTCAGCCATACACCAGTCACCCACCAGATGGAATGGACCTTTTCTTCCACCAGTATGAGCCATGATATCTGAGGATGATGAGAGCTGTATTTCAATACATCTGAGGATATAAGTTTGGTAAAGGCTAGCTTAGATATTTACAGAGATGATCAAATACTGTACCTGCTAGCATCTGCGGATCAAGCTTTTGTGAACAGCACAGAAGCAGAGGCTGGCTGAAAAGTTGGCAATTTGCCCTTCAAGCTTCCCCAGGCTGCTGGCACCAGTTCTTCCTGTGCCAAAAATTAAACAGGTGGAACTCTTGGCCCTCATTTTATGTCAGGTAAAAAAACCTCACCCTGCCCAGTGATGTGTCTAGGTATACTTTTTGAAAGAAGATACTGAAGTGGGGTTGGTTTAAAAGTTGGCAACCTTGGGACTTAACAGCTCATTAAGGCGCTTCGAATCGGTGATACGGTGGCCGCGAATTCGGGATAAAAGAATGAGCTTCTGAAAAGGACTTCTCGGAGGGAGGGAGAAAGATGAGGCAAACCCAGCCAACTCTCCCAAGTTTGCTTAGCGCTTTGTGTTTCTCATTTCAAACGTTGACCTAAAGTAACCCTCCTTAGCATGGAGACCAAGAGGTCATGATGATACAATCTGAGGTTCACTGTGACATGTGGAAAACATCTCCGGGGTTTATTTTTTGAGAAGATAAAGAAACAGCTGGGACAGAGCTATCACGTGACCGAGAGGTTGGAAACTGCTCCGGGCTAGAGTTTTCTTCTTGATGGAATAAAGCCTTACATGCCTTGAAGAGTGAGATGGAATGGGTGGAATCTTAAAAATATCTTTGGGAAGAGGGAAAGTATATTATGGTGCCCCCCAGATTTTAGATGTGGAGCATTCAATAATCTCATGGCTGCTCTCCCCCCATCCCTTTCACCTGTAGATCTTCTGAAGAGAGACCCATAGAGATGTATGGGATCGCCCTTGCGGTCCAGATAGTTAAGACTATCAGATTATCTAAATGTTTTCATCTAATAAAGGAACACTCTAATTATCTCTTTGGCAGCTGCCCCAATTTTCAGTGTTCTGCGACTGAACCTTTGCACTTGGTGGGTCAAGAATGTTCACAAACATTCAGGTGAAATCACCGGGTGAAGCATTTTCTTGATAGTCACCCCATTGCGTCGGTTTTTCGGTACGTGGGCTGTCATGAAGGCAGATGAAAGTGGCACAGAATTTTCCAGGGCAAACCCGGGAAATACTTTCGGATTAAGAAATGGACTGTGGTCTCCAAGCCACAGAGACAACATGTAAAAAGCACAACAAAATGCATTTGAAACAACAGCAACAACCAGAACACAACCTTAGCGTTGCTTTTCAGGCAACCGGTTGATTTCATTATTCAAAGGAGACCCCCAGAGCTTGAAGTAACTAGTTAGAAATAACG